TCGTAAGTCGAGGACTTTCCCTGCCCGGGAGCGCCGCGCATGCGTGGTTCCGCCCCCTGCGCCGGCCGAGGCGTAGCTGGCAAGCGGCAGAGACGGAGCAGGCCGACCACCAGCTGGCCCAGCCCAAGGGAGGTAAGGCACCCGCCGGAAAAGGGGGAAAAAATGGCGGACAAAAAAAATGGCGGACAGCCTTGCTTGGTGGCCCCCATGAAATGGTCGATCGACCCCAAATGGGGTCCCGACCCACAGGCTGAGAACCACTGGACTAGATGATCTCCAAGGTCCCTTCCAGTTCTATTCTATTCTATTCTATTCTGTTCTGTTCTGTTCTGTTCTGTTCCATTCCATTCTATTCTATTCCATTCCATTCCATCTTCTGTTCTGTTCTGTTCTGTTCTGTTCCGTTCCGTTCCGTTCCGTTCCGTTCCGTTCCATTCCATTCTATTCCATTCCATCTTCTATTCTGTTCTGTTCTGTTCTGTTCTGTTCTGTTCTGTTCTGTTCTGTTCCATTCCGTTCTATTCCATTCCAATTCCTGAATGCTATTTCGGTCAGTCGTTCGTTTCAGTGCCGTTGTAACTTCGAACGGTCAGTAAACGAACTGTCATAATTCGAGGACTAGCTGCATCCCCATCTGTCCCTCAAGGAGGTTTTCTGGGTCACGGTTGGGGAGGAGCAGGGGCCCCTCCTTGTGGTGAGGGGAGCCAGTCACCCACCCTTTGTAGAAAGCATGGGGTCCTTCCTTCACGACCATGGTCAGCATGCAGTTCAAAGCGTTCTTGTACTGTCCGGCGCCGGAGTTCATGTACCGCGTTTTGACCACGTCCACCGGCGACGCCACCACCGTCGCGCAGAAACCGGCGCCGAACGCCGCCACAAAGTGGCACGGGAAATTATCTGGGGAGACAAAGGAGTAGAAGACCCTCAGGACGATGGGCCTCAGAGGCTGGAGAGAAGGTGCATAGCGCATTGCCTTCACCAAGAATATTCCAGGCCGCCCTCAACTCGTCACAGTTCGCTTAGTGACCATTCCGAGTTACGACGGCACTGAAAAAAAGGGACATATGACCGTTTTATCACACTTAGGACCGTTGCAGCATTCCCCGTGTGATTTACATTCAGATGGTGGGATTCAGCCGGTTCGCACTGGTTCAGGAGAATGGGGGGCTAATTTTTGTTGAGTTCGGAGAACCGGCTGAATGCACACCGTTTCTGGAAGTCTGTTTTAGGCCTGGGAGGCCTGGAGGAGGCCTCCCTGGCCTAGAACGGCCCACCGGAAGTGCATGGATGCCACTTCCAGAAATCCGTTCTAGGCCTTGGACGCCCAGGCCCAGAATGGATTTCCGGAAGTGGCATCCATGCAGAGAACCGGTTGTTCAGATATTGTGGATAACTGTTGATAACTGACTTCTATTCTATTCTATTCTGTTCTGTTCTGTTCTATTCTATTCTATTCTATTCTATTCTGTATTTTATTATTCTATTCTATTCTATTCTATTCTATTCTATTCTATTCTATTCTATTCTATTCTATTCTATTCTATTCTATTCCAATATTCTATTCTATTCTATTCTATTCTATTCTATTCTATTCTATTCTATTCCAATATTCTATTCTATTCTATTCTATTCTATTCTATTCTATTCTATTCTATTCTATTCTATTCTATTCCATTCCATATTTTCTATTCTATTCTATTCTATTCTATCTATTCTATTCTATTCCATATATTCTATTCTATTCTATTCTATTCTATTCTATTCTAATTTCATTCTATTCTATTGTATTATATTCTATTCATTATTCTATTCTATTCTATTCTATTCTATTCCATATATTTTATTTTATTTTATTCTATTCTATTCTATTCTATTCTATTCTAATTTCATTTTATTCTATTCTATTGTATTATATTATATTCATTATTCTATTCTATTCTGTATTTTATTATTCTATTCTATTCTATTCTATTCTGTATTTTATTATTCTATTCTATTCTATTCTGTATTTTATTATTCTATTCTATTCTATTCTATTCTGTATTTTATTATTCTATTCTATTCTATTCTATTCTATTCTATTCTATTCTATTCTATTCTATTCTATTCTATTCTAATTATTCTCCTCTCCTCTCCTCTCTTCTCCTAGTCTAGTCTAGTCTAGTCTAGTCTAGTCTAGTCTACCTTAACCTACCCTATCCTATCGTATCCTATCCTTACCTGTCATCAGGTGATGTTTCAGCAGGGTCTCCTTAATGAGGTCATAGGTCACCATCTCCCCACAGTTCACAATGGCGTTGCGAGTGATGTTGGGGAAGATCCCTGCCAGGGATGGAAGGAAATATCGGTTATGGAGAATGAAGGTTTTGGGATTCCAAAATTGCTTTTGGGAGGAAAAAAAAGAACAGATGTGGACAGGTACCTTTCCAGAGGCCTCGGACCCCTTCCTCCCGGGCGATTGTCCGATAGGCGTCCACTGTCCCATTGTACTTCTTGGGAGCCCCCACCAGCTGGATGTGGGCTTGGAAGCGGACTTTCACCACGTCCGTCGGTTGGGCGCAGGTCACCGCCATGGCGCCAGTGGTACAGCCGGCAAGGAGGCGGATGAAAATGCTGGTATCTGAGATAGGATGAGGGGGAAAGGGAGAAAGAGGGACGATGAACCAGCCCAGGGGAGCCTCAGTTGCTCTAGAGCAGAGTTCCCCAACATTTAATAATAATAATAATAATAATAATAATAATAATAATAATAATAATGATGATGATGATGATGATGTTGGAACCTTGGAGGTCATCTAGTCCAACCCCCTGCTCAGGCAGGAAATCCTAGACCAGAGGAGGAGGAGGACGAGGAGGACGAGGAGGAGGAAGACTATGGAGTCCTTGGTGCTCTCTGAGCTTGGTTATTTTCTTGCAGAAATTTCCTTACCTGACTAGGTAACATCATCAGTGCTAGGAGGGAGTGGGGTTTGCAGAGAGGAGAAGGAGAGGAGAGGAGAGGAAGAGGAAGAGGAGGAGTCTTATGCCAGACTCCAGACTTACGCTCGGAGCCCTTGGGCGTGTAGAGCTGCTTCACAGAGTCGTAGAGTCCGATCCGGACCGAGGCGAAACTCATCTGGCGCTGAAGGCCAGCCACCAGCCCATTGTAGAGGCTCTTGGGCCCTTCCATCTTCACCATGGTGGTGATGGTGCCCAGCACCCCCTTGTATTTCACTTGTCTGCTCGCCTTGCACGTCCTCGATTCCCCCTGGATCTGGGACGAGAAAGAGGGATTGGGTGGTGTTATCATCCTGGTTTTGGTCTAAAACGGAGTTGCTCGACCTTGGCAAGGTTAAGACACCCGGGACTTCAACTCCCAGAATTCCCCAGCCAGCATCACTCATCAAACACAGGACCCCCCCCAAAAAAGACAACAATCAAGGCTCACTATAGTATTTATGGTTAACAGTGCGCATAATGTGCACTAAATAAATTCTCTCTAGAACAGGGGTCTTCAAACTTGGCCCTTTTATGACTTGTGGACTTCAACTCCCAGAATTCCCCAGCCAGCATCACTCATCAAACACAGGACCAAAAAAAAAAAAGACAATAATCAAGGCTCACTATAGTATTTATGGTTAACAGTGTGCATAATGTGCACTAAATAATTTCTCTCTAGAACAGGGGTCTTCAAACTTGGCCCTTTTAAGACTTGTGGACTTCAACTCCCAGAATTCCTCAGCCAGGCACGCGTGCCTGGCTGAGGAATTCTGGGAGTTGAAGTCCACAAGTCACAAAAGGGCCAGGTTTGAAGACCCCTGCCCTAGAGCAATGTTTCTCAACCTTGGCAGTTTTAAGCTGTATGGACTTCAACTCCCAGAATTCATGCTGGCTGAGGAATTCTGGGAGTTGAAGTCCACAAGTCACAAAAGGGCGAAGTTTGAAGATCCCTGCTCTAGAATATAGTGACAAGGAACGCCTACAGGCAAAAAGATGCACTCATATTTATATATTTCAGGAAAGGAGGAAAAATGACACATATGGATATCTAATAGATGACCTAAGCGTGCATATTCACAATTAGCAAACTTTAAGTCCCTTCCCTGCCTTCCACCGCTGCTATGCTCAAGAAAGATTTATTGTCTTAATAAAAAGAAATATATCAGCCATGTGGCCCTGGCAGTTTTGATAAAGTGTACTGAGAACGGAGGGCTTCAAAGCTGATCCGATTAGCACATATTCCTTCCATGTTTCTACTTTGCTAACAGGCTTTTCCTCACGCTGCTCTAAACCATGGTTTGTTCAACAATAAGAAAGGTCATAAAACGGGGCAAAACCCGCTTAATAAGGGTCTCAATTAGCCATCAGAAATTTTGGGGCTCAATTGCGGCCATAAATCAAGGACTTCCTGTGCTGCACAGCGCACAGCACCACCCAACACGTGACTAGAATCTTCTGACTATCACCCGAGGCATTGAGCAGGCTAATGGATCCCTGCCCTGGCAAGGGGTTGGACTAGATGACCTCCAAGGTCCCCTCCCATCCTTCCTTGGTATGGTTCCACGCTTCACTGTCCCTGCTTGATGGCATAGCTCTCTCCCTTGGCGACCCCCCCAAAGGTGTTTTTTCAAAAGGCAACTGGACTTTCTTTGTTAATAATAATAATAATAAAGTTGGAAGGGACCTTGGAGGTTATCTAGTCCAACCCCCTGCTCAGGCAGGAAACCCTATACCATTTTGGACAAATGGCTGTCCAGTCTCTTTTTAAAGACTTCTAGTGTTGTAGCACCCACAACTTCTGAAGGCAGGTTGTTCACATCTAATTTTACAACTTTTTTGCATGGAACCCCGCAGTCACAAAATGAACTAGTGACATGGTTTTGCTGGAATCCAGAACTATGATGATGATGATGATGATGATGATGATGATGATGATGATGATGATAATAATAATAATAATAATAATAATAATAATAATAATAATAATAATAAAGTTGGAAGGGACCTTGGAGGTCATCTAGTTCAACCCCCTGCTCAAGGCAAGAAACCCTATACCATTTCAGACAAATGGCTGTCCAGCCTCTTCTTAAAAACTTCTTAAAAACTGTGCTTGAAGAGGTTTCGCTTCTCGTGCCAAGAAGCGTCATTCCGTTCTGACTGAAGGGTGGAGAATGACAGGATTTATATTCTTTGCCGTCGTCGTCTCCTTTAGTGACGTGTGCCCTTCTGAGCGGGACCTACCTGGAGCCGGACTTTTGCGGTGTCCAAGGGGAACGTGCAGAGATCAGCAACGCAGGCGGCTGTGCCAGCGCTGAGGAATTTGATGGGCGCCGACGGCGGGATGTCGGTGGGCTTCAAACCGACCATCCTTCTCGGCAACTACAATCTCCACGCCAGAAATCCTTCTTTGGGTGTTGTCTAAAAATTGGGATTTCTGCGGCAGAAACGGCTCTGCCCTTTGTGGGGAAGGAAGGAACCTAGGAGAAAAACATAATAATAAAGTTGATCGCGACAACCGCAACGATTATTACTATCGTCGCTATAATTGACGCTGGACCGAAATTTAATCGAAGTAGTTTATCCGTGTCGGCAGAACTTGAAACGCAGGGACACGCAACTGCCGAAGTGTCATCCTTGACAGAAGCTCTTGTTGACAAAGAGTATAAAAGGTGGGAGTTTTGTGGCACTGCACAAGTCCAACATGCTTTTTTGTTGCAGTTTTCTTTCAAAGGTGTTCCTCCGTGTCTCACTGTGTCAGATGGATTTAAGCTGGGGGTCATATATAGAATAGGATAGGATAGAATAAGAATAAGAATAAGAATAAGAATAGGAATAGGAATAGGAATAGGAATAGAATAGAATAGAATAGAATAGAATAGAATAGAATAGAATAGAATAGAATAGAATAGAATAGAATAGAGTAGAATAAGGATAGGATAGGATAGGATAGGAATAGGAATAGGAATTATAATAGAATAGAATTAAGAATTATTGGAATAGAATAGAATAGAATAGAATACAATACAATAGAATACAATAGATTAGAATGATAGGATAGGATAGAATAGGAATTAGAATAGAGTAGAATAGAAATAATAATGGAATGGAATAGAATAGAATAGAATAGAATAGAATAAGGATAGGAAAGGATAGGAATAGGAATAGAAATAGGAATTAGAATAGAATAGAAATAAGAATAGAATAGAATAGAATAGAATAGAATAGAATAGAATAGAATAGAATAGAATAGAATAGAATAAAAAATACAATAGAAATAGAATAGAAAATAGAACAGAATAGAATAGAATTCTTTATTGGCCAATGATGGGAGACACAAAGAATTTGTCTCTGGTGCCTAAACTCACATCTTAAAGCAGCAAATAATAGGTGATAGGTCATAATCATAATTACCATCATTAAACCTAAGTTACAAACAAATATCAATAAATCATAGTCACTAAGCGACCGATCGTAAGCCGAGAACTGCCTGTAACTAAGCAATAAAAACAGAATTTCTACCTGCACCGGGATAATTTTTCTCTCCAAATTCTCAGGCTGGTCTGCCCCATTCACAGCTCGAAGAATCTTCTTGCAAAATCGATTTCTTTCGATAACGGCTAATAAAATCATTTATCAATCAAACGATCCGGCCGGTCCAAGCACAGAGCAGGGAGCCTTCCTCACCGGCTCAAATATACGTCGGGACTCTCGTTCGTCATCCTTGTCCATCCCCATTTATAAACTCAGCCAGGCTGGCATTTCAAGAAGATGCCAACGGATGAAAACACCCATCGGGTGGCGGGTCAGCCAGTGCGAGGACTGAAATGACACCCCCCCACACACATACACACACACAGACGCCCAGTGTGTGTTTGTGGCCAAAAATAGGGGTGGCATTTGTCACTATGGAAATGTCTCCGTTTGTACACAGGGATTTTTTTTCACCCTGCAGGGGCGGTGGGGGTCTCCTGAGACACGAGGTTGTGAAACAGTGACCGGGGGTTGAGTTTTAGGATCACAGGCAGTCCTCGACTTACAACAGTTCAGTTAGTGACCGTTCAAGGTTACAACGGCACTGAAAAAAGCGACTTAGGACCCCTTTTCATGCTGACGACCGTTGCAGCATCCCCTTGATCACGTGATCAAAATTCAGAGGCTCGGCAACTGACTCGTATTTACGACGGCTGCCGTGTCCCGGGGTCACGTGATCCCCTTTTACGACCTTCTCACCAGCAATGGAGAAGACAGATTCACTTAACAACCGTGTTACTGACTTAAGGAGTGCAGTCATTCACTTAATGTGGCAGGAAAAGTTGTAAAACTCACTTAACAAGCTTCTCACTTAATGACCTACCTTTTGAGCTCAATGGCGGTCGTAAGTCGAGGATTAACCCACGTTCTTTCTGCAACCTTCCAAGCTGCACGCCTCTGTGGTGTGTGGTGGCTGCATTCAGACGAACAATTTAACCAGGTCCGGTGCAAACACACCAGGGAGGGCTGCAAAGGTCCCAACATCCTTAACTGAGTTTGTGTTAAATTGAGGAAGATGTTTAACTTAGTTTAGCAAGGGATGGAAATTTATTTTGGGGACTCTGCCAGTCTAGAAAAATGAGGGAATTCAGTACAGGTGAGTCCTTGACTTATGACTAAAGTTGGGACCATCATTTCCATTGCTGTGCCACTTGGTTGTTAAGTGAGTCATGCTGAATTTACAACCTTTCTCCTGCGGTTAAGCAGATCACCACAGTTGTTAAGTAAATCATGCGGTCGTTAAGCAAACCCACTTTCCCCCAAAGTCACCGGGAAAGACAGATTGATTCACTCAATAACCGTTTTACTGGCTTAACAGCTGCAGTGATTCACAACTGTGCTATGAAAAGTCGTAAAAGGGGGCTAAGCCTACTTAACAACTGTCTTGCTTAACGACAGAAATTTTGGACTCAACCGTCGTCGTAATTCGAGGACAACCTGTGTTGGTTGGGGTGCTGCAAGTCCACCAACGCGCAAGGCATTCGGATCTATCTTTTTGCCAACGGATGCTCCGGAGAGCTAGAATCGTCTGGCGGGAACGGATCCTTGAGGTCATCCAGTCCAGCCCCACTGCTTAAGCGAAACGTCACAGATCAGCTTCTGCGGAAGGGAAGCCAGCCGCCCCTTTGCGTATTTAGGGACGTTTGTCAGGAACATTTTGTGCTTTACCATTTACCGTTCACAGCAGCCGGGGCCGGGAAATGGTGTGACCTCCGCAACTGGGGTTGTGCAGACGTCACAGGAAATTAAAAAGTGTTCTTGTCGTCATCCTTTGGGTCAGGATCTGGCAGGAGGAAAATGCCAGCCCCTTCTCGAGTTTCTGGGACAAACAGTTCAGGCCAACAGACGTCATTTATTTGGGTGCCTCGAGTAAGTTGCCAAAATGTTCTCGCAACCAGCCGGCTGTCCGGCAAGACATGAAAATCGCCCCATTGTTAAGAGGGTGGAAGTGCGAAGGGGCACCGTGAAATTGCCTGAAATGTTATATGGCTGCCGAAGAAATAGGCTTGAATGTGTAAAAAAAATTAACTTTTGTCTTTATTGTATAAAAACCCAGAATCACAATAATAATAATACTAATTAGAAAAAAGCAAACTAAAAATTCTTCATAAATAAATTAGCACATTTCCATTTGGACAGATAATTTCCCCCGTGTTCTTAAAAAAGGGACAAACCAGTAGGATCAAGGTCTATGCCAGGGGTAGGCAACCTTGGCTCTTTTATGACTGGTGGACTTCAACTCCCAGAATTCCTCAGCCAGCATGGGGGAACTATGGCCCCTTCATGACTTGCGGACTTCAACTCCCAGAATTCCTCAGCCAGCATGGGGAAACTATGGCTCCTTCATGACTTGTGGACTTCAACTCCCAGAATTCCTCAACCAGCCATGCTGAGAGGAAAGGGAGAGGTTTCCAAGCTGAGCCATGCTGGCTCAGGAATTCTGGGAGTTGAAGTCCTCATGTCATGAAGGGGCCATAGTTCCCCCATGCTGGCTCAGGAATTCTGGGAGTTGAAGTTCGCGAGTCATAAAGGGGCCATAGTTCCCCCATGTTGGCTGAGGAATTCTGGGAGTTGAAGTCCACCAGTCATAAAAGAGCCTATATTTTAAATTATTGTACTCTATTTTAACTTCACACATACACACCTGGAGGAGTATTTGCACATCCTAGAGTGGGCTGCTTTTTTTTTTTTTTTTTGCAGCAGCAGCAGCAGTCCCCAATCCCGTGAGAACCGAGTGGCCTGTTCGCACCCCAAGTTCATTATAACTCTTGCACAATCCCTTCCGGGTCAGCCTTCATACGGGGCGTCCAGGTAAACCTCCAGTCTGCATTGGATTGGAAGGGGTTGGCGCTTGAAAATTAAAACGATTAAAATTACAAAATTAAAATTCAAGAAACGTTCAGGAAAGGGTGCCTTTTTACCCCAGGCTTGGCTTTCAGTTGCAAATTCCTCTAGGCAGGGAATCCAGAAACGATGATTTTTCAATGGGAGAAAAATGAAAAGAAGAGGCAAACAGGTGCTCCTGATGGGATTTTTAAAGAGGGAGGGAGGGAGCCTCCACGGATCCGAGGGAGCCAGAGTGCTTGAGTGGGAGATGAGAGTGTTTGGAATGAATCTCTTCCTCCCTGGCACTCGAAAAAAAAAGACACCAAAATCGGATAAAAGATGAATTCTGCTGCTACAATGAGGCTTTCCCCCCCTGTCTTCCTATTGAGGACAACTGATCAGTTTTGGTTGGCAGGTGGAATAGCTCCAAACTGACATGGATATTTGAGAAAGAAAGAGAAAGAGAAAGAGAGAGAGAGAGAGAGAGAGAGAGAGAGAGAGAGAGAGAGAAAGAAAGAAAGAAAGGGAGGGAAAAGAAAAAAACAAATAAAAAAGAGAAAGAATGAAATAAAGAAAGAAAAGAAAAAGAAAGAACAAAAGAGAAAGAAAATGAAGAAAGGAAAAGAAAAACAAACAAATAAAAAAGAGAGAATGAAAGAGAAAGAAAGAAAAGAGAGAAAGAAAAAAAGAATGAAAGAGAAAGAAAGAAAATGGAAGGAAAGAAAAGAGACAAATAAAAAAGAGAAAGAATGAAAAAGAAAGAAAAGAGAGGAAGAAAAAAAGAATGAAAAAGAAAGAAAATGGAAGGAAGGAAGGAAAAGGGACAAATAAAAAAGAAAGAATGAAAGAGAAAGAAAGAAAATGGAAGGAAGGAAGAAAGGAAAAGAAAAAGAGAGACAAATAAAGAAGAATGAAAAAGAAAAAGAAAAAGAGAGAAAGAAAAAAGAGAAAGAAAGAAAGAAAAGGAAGGAAGGAAGAAAGAGAAAACAATTTGGATTCCTCTGCTACCAGGGGCTGGGTGGGAGTGGGATAGATGCCCGGGTCCCTCCTCCCAGCTATGCCAGGGCCCCCGGCTGTCATTCAGCCCAGTGGGGGCATCTCCGCAGCTCCCATGCCAGTCACGTCAACGCTCAGGCCAGAAGGAATAAGATGCTGGGGGAAAAAATGGCGAGGGCAAGAGCTGGCCTGGAGAACGTTAGCTCTCCTGGTGGTGCCCACTCCAAGCTCAAAGTTGCCTTCCGGACGGCCGTTGCAGGGGATGCCGACCTGCGTTATCTTGGCTTGCCCGTGTCTCCAGGTTCTTCACGGGAACAAAGTGCTGGATTATTATGTGCTGTTTCAGAAACAAGGGCGGGGGGGGGGGAGGGCACAGGGAAGAGGGATCCTGCCCTGCTGGGAGATGCCCTCCTTTGTCAAGACGGCTGAAGTCGCAGTGTGCTATAGAGGCTGCCTTTTGCAGAAGGCTTTATCCGACGGACTCGGCCCGGCGGGCTTTATGCTTTTTTGGAGAACTGCGTGGAAAAGATCCGAGCGATCCTTTTCGTTTCCTCTTCGGGCAGCTGGAGGGGCATCGGGCGCGGACTGGGCTGGACCGGCCTTCGGTCAGACATTCCCGGAGCCTGGCTTGGGTCCTCTCCAGTCTGAAACGAAGGAGGGAAAGGGCTCTCAAGAGCTTCTGTGTTGTTCTCAGACAGAAATCATTTAACAAAAAAACACACACACACAAACCAATTTCTTTGATGACTACAGAGACGCTGCTCTGGAAGGGAGAGGGGCAGTTTCTAAATTTGATGCACGGAGAAACTAAATGAATAAGGAATTAAAGGTCCAGGAACACGAGTTCCTTCTAGGGATCAACTGATTTGCTGAGAGGCAAAATGAGATGGGTGGCATTTAAATTTGATAGATAGACAGACAGACAGACAGACAGACAGACAGACAGACAGACAGACAGACAGACAGATACATATGGGTTGAAGGATGGATAGTTGGATGGAACTAGAAAGGGATAGATGATGGATGGATAGATAGATAGGTAAAGATAGGTAGATGATAGATACAGACAGATAGATAGATAGATCATTAGATAGATAGATAGATAGATAGATAGATAGATAGATAGATAGATAGATAGATAGATAGATAGATAGATAGATAGATAGATAGATAGATAGATAGATAGATGAGGAGAGATGATAGATAGATAGATAGATACAGACAGATAGATAGATAGATAGATAGATAGATCATTAGATAGATAGATAGATAGATAGATGAGAGAGATGATAGATAGATAGATAGACAGACAGACAGACAGACAGATAGACAGATAGATAGATAGATATGGGTTGAAGGATGGATAGTTGGATGGAACTAGAAAGGTATTGATGATGGATGGATAGATGGATAGATAGATAGATAGATAGGTAAAGATAGGTAGATGATAGATACAGACAGATAGATAGATAGATCATTAGATAGATAGATAGATAAATAGATAGAGACAGATAGATAGATCATTAGATAGATAGATAGATAGATAGATAGATAGATAGATAGATAGATAGATAGATAGATAGATAGATAGATAGATAGATAGATAGATAGACAGACAGACAGACAGACAGACAGATAGATAGATAGGCAGGCAGGCAGGCAGGCAGGCAGGCAGGCAGACAAGACAGACAGAGCGATCAACCGACTGACCGACCGACAGTTGAGAGAGAGAGAGAGGATAGATGGATGGATATTTAGAGACAGATGATATTGTTGGATGGATGAATGGATAGGTAGATGAGAGAGAAAGACCTAGATTGACAGAGAGACGGATGGATGGATGGATGAGTGGATGGGAGCAGAAAGACACAGACAGACAGGGACAGAGATGGATGGGTGGATAGATAGATGAGAGGAAAAGAGAGAGAGAGAGAGAGAGAGAGAGAGAGAATGAATGAATCTGGCTTCCGCATTGACTTTGCTAGTCAGAAGGTCGCAAAAGGGGATCACGTGACACCCCCCTCCCCGGGACACTGCAGCCGTCATAAACACGAGTCAGTTGCCCAGGGTCCGAATTTTGATCACGTGACCCGTTGGGGATGCAGCGACAGTGTGTGAAAGGGCCCTAAGTCGCTTTTTTCAGTGCCGTTGTAACTTCGAACGGTCGTTAAACGAAGCCGGGGACCGCCTGTCTTGTAGAAAGGGGCGTTCCCGTTGGACGGGGGGGCGGGATTGCCGAGAATCAGAACAAGCCAGCATCCCGCAACTGGCCAGCATCCTTGAAACGCAAATTTTAAGCCCCTGCCACTGCTTTAGAAGCACATTTCTTAAAACGGCATCTTTTATTCAGGGGGGAAAATGGTTTTTCCGTCCCAGATTTGAATTGTGCTGATGAAGGATCCTTATTTTTATTTTTTAATCAGCCTTCTCTCTACCTTGCCCAGAATTTGGGGGGAAAAGCAAGGGAAGCAAGCCAAAAGAAGCCGCAGGAGGAGGTGGGGTGGCCATTAATCTCTGTTCTGCAATATTAAACCCTGGTTGGGAACCCACCAGGTGGCTGGTCAGCAGCTATTAATGGCCCTGCCACCTTTCACCCACTGAGGGGGCCTGTTTTCCTCTCCAGGCTGCACCCTGAAACTCCAGGAAAGGGGGCTGGTTTCGGGAAAGGGGCCGGCCGTCCTCGGCGGAGTTCCGCTTATCCAAGCAATAAACTGGGTCGCTAATAATACACTCGGCTGCACTTTCGCCTCCGCTGGGTTCTAGCAATAAAGCGGATTTTTTTTGTGTGTGTGTGTGTGTGCAAACGGCAGGATCTAAACCCAGCAGTCATCAAGTATGTGTGCCAGAGAGAAAGGGGGTGGCTTAAAAACCTCACACACACCCCGGTGCTTGCGAAATAGAGGGAGGGAGGGAGGGATGATATAGATGAGATATAGATTAGGTAATAGATAGATAGATAGATAGATAGATAGATAGATAGATAGATAGATAGATAGATAGACAGACAGACAGACAGACAGACAGATAGCTTTCATGCCTAAGGCGGGACTAGAATTCACCGTCTCCTGGTGATTGGTCCAAAGTCACCCAGCTGGCTTTCACGCCTAAGGCGGGACTAGAACTCTCAGTCTCCTGGTGATTGGCCCACCCAGCTAGCTTTCATGGCTAAGGCAGGACTAGAACTCACTGTCTCCTGGTGATTGGTCCAAAGTCACCCAGCCGGCTTTCACGCCTAAGGCGGGACTAGAACTCTCAGTCTCCTGGTGATTGGCCCACCCAGCTAGCTTTCAGGGCTAAGGCAGGACTAGAACTCACTGTCTCCTGGTGATTGGTCCAAAGTCACCCAGCCGGCTTTCACGCCTAAGGCGGGACTAGAACTCTCCGTCTCCTGGTGATTGGCCCAAAGTCATCCAGCTGGCTTTCATGCCCAAGGCGGGACTAGAACTCCCTGTCTCCTGGTGATTGGCTTGAAGTGACCCAGCTGGTTTTCATGCCTAAGGCAGGACTACAACTCTCCGTCTCCTGGTTTTTAGGTCAACATCTTAACCACTACACCAGTGGTTCTCAACCTTTTTAATGCCACGACCCCAACCGGTCGTAAGTCGAGGACTAAACCGGTCGTAAGTCGAGGACTAAACCGGTCGTAAGTCGAGGACTAAACTGGTCGTAAGTCGAGAACTACCCAACCGGTCGTAAGTCGAGGACTTTCCCTGCCCGGGAGCACCGCGCATGCGTGGTTCCGCCCCCTGCGCCGGCCGAGGCGTATCTGGCAAGCGGCAGAGACGGAGCAGGCCGACCACCAGCTGGCCCAGCCCAAGGGAGGTAAGGCACCCACCGGAAAAGGGGAAAATGGCGGACACAAAAAATGGCGGACAGCCTTGCTTGGCGACCCCCGTGAAATGGTCGATCGACCCCAAATGGGGTCCCGACCCACAGGTTGAGAACCACTGCACTACACCAAACGGGCTCTCCTGCCCAAATACCCCAAGGTCCCGGCCTCTGTGCAGTTGGACAAAGCCCTTCTAGATGACCCAAGGAAGCAGACCATCCAATGCCACCTAGGTGACCCTGTTCGGGGGCTCCCTCGGCGCCCAGTGCTGTAACTTTCCAGTTGCTGAAAGTTCAGACAAATGACACCCGTCTCGGATTACGGGCCTCCTATTTATATAGACTTATTTACACTTAATCCGGAGGGGCTTAAAATGTCGACAGGGCCGCTCGGCGTCTTAAGGGGCCGGCCAAGATGGCAGCTGGCTCCCCTCCCGCCATCCTGCAGGTGGGTGTTGCTGGCACAGCTGAAAATCCATCCGGCTGCACCCGGCTCCTGTTTGCCTCTGTACAGCTTTAGTCAGCAAGTGAGGCGGCCGGCTGTGAAAAGGCAGCCAGGTGAAGGGAACGTTTCCTGGAGACTTCCTCTGCTGAACAACCCACTTCAGGTCCAGGCTCTTCCCAGGTCAACCCCGAGTGCCCAGCGCAAGGAATCTCAGCTGACCGGGAAGGATCTGGCGCATCTCCTCAACTTTTTGATCAGCTCAAGACCCGTTGGCTGGCTGGCATTAAGGATGAGGAGCTGGAAGCGAGAAGATGCTGCAACCCACAGCTCTCTTTTAGCCGCCAGTAGGACAATTCAAGAGACCCCCCCCCGCAAGGTTTCCCCTCCCCCAATAAGAATCTCTCAAGTGAGGGATGTGCAGGTTCCCCCAGGCATTCGAATAAAAATAGAAATAAAAAAGAGAAGAGAAGAAGAGAATAGAAGAGAATAGAAGAGAATAAGAAGAGAAGAGAAGACAATAAGAAGAGAAGAGAAGAGAGAGGGAAGGGAAATAAGGAATAGAATAGAATAGAATAGAATAGAATAGAATAGAATAAGAAAGTTGGAAGGGACCTTGGAGGTCATCTAGTCCAGGGATAGGCAACATTGGCTCTTTTATAATTCGTGAACTTCAGCTCCCAGAATTCCTCAGCCAGCATGGGGGAACTATGGCCCCTTCATGACTCGTGAACTTCTAAGCCCAGAATTCCTGGGCTAGCATTGTGGAACTAGGGCCTCTTCATGACTTGTGGACTTCAACTCCCAGAATTCCTCAGCCAACATGAGGGAACTATGGCTCCTTCATGACTGGTGGACTTCAACTCCCAGAATTCCTCAGCCAGCATGGGGGAACTATGGCCCCTTCATGACTTGTGGACTTCAACTCCCAGAATTCCTCAGCCAGCATGGGGGAACTATGGCCCCTTTATGACTTGTGGACTTCAACTCCCAGAATTCCTCAGCCAACATGAGGGAACTATGGCTCCTTCATGACTGGTGGACTTCAACTCCCAGAATTCCTCAGCCAGCATGGGGGAACTGTGGCTCCTTCATGACTCGTGGACTTCAACTCCCAGAATTCCTGAGCCAGTATGAGGGAAACTTTGGCCCCTTCATGACTCGTGGACTTCAACTCCCAGAATTCCTGAGCCAGCATGGCTCAGCTTGGAAACCTTTCCCTTTCCCCTCAGCGTGGCTGGCTCAGGAATTCTGGGAGTTGAAGTCCACGAGTCCTAAAAGAGCCCAGGTGGCCTACCCCTGATCTAGTCCAGCAGACATTTGCTCTAAATGGTAAAGGGTTTCTTGTTCAAGCAGGGGGCTGGACTAGAAGACCTCCAAAGTCCGTTATTCTGTTATTCTACTCT